AGAGTGGAAAATGTCGGGCACCGAAGTTGGTGTTGCTGTTGCTGGCAAAGTTGCAGAGAACCTGGTTGATCGAATTTTCAATCTAATCTGGAACAGAATAACTCGTGTGTTCAAATGGAAGACCAATTTAAACAATCTGGAGGAAGAAGTTAAGAAGCTGGTGGCTGAAAGCGAGAGTGTGCGGCAATTGATGGAAGCTGCTGACCGAAAAGGGGAAGAGGCCGTGCGGAAGGTCAAGCTTTGGCTGACTAATGCAGAGAAGTACATTGGAGATATGGAGAAGTTAGAGGATGATGAAGACAAAGCCAAGAAGAAGTGTTTCCTAGGGGTCTGTCCTAATCCCAGGGCACGTTACCAAATCAGCAAGAAAGTGGAGGGGTATTTGGTGGATGTTACTGAACTCCTACAAGAAGCTCACAATTTCAACTTCCCAGGTTTCTACTGTCCTCCAACATCTACAGCGCCAGTTAATAAAGGTTTTGAGGACTTTGGGTCAAGAACGCCTCATTTGGACAGTATTATGGAGGCCTTGAGAAGTACTGGCACTGACAAGATAGGTGTGTATGGGATGCCTGGTGTTGGAAAGACCATGTTAGCCAAAGAACTTGCCAGACGAGCTGAGGAAGCCCACTTATTTGATTTAGTTGTATTCGCTTCTGTGACAAGGGATCGAGACTTTAGAAGAATTCAAGGAGAAATTGCTGACAACTTAGATCTACAGCTTAATAAGGAGACTGAAGTTGGGAGAGCAAGGCAACTAAAGGATTATCTGAAGAAAAAGAAGAGGATTCTTGTGATTTTAGATGACATTTGGTCGAGGCTAGATTTGGATGAACTTGGAATTCCTTTTGAAGAGATGAAGAATGAGGCAAGTTCAGTTGGTGAAGGACAGATGCAATGCAAGATTCTCTACACATCTAGATTTCTTGATGTCTTATCACGTGACATGGATACTAATCAAAATTTTGATGTTCGCCCATTGCAAGATGAAGAAGCACGGGAGCTTTTGAAGAAGATAGTTGGTGATGAAATTGAAACTTCTGGCTTGCAGCTTACAGCAGAGGAGATTGCCAAAGAATGTGCTGGGCTACCACTAGCCATTCAATCTCTTGGCAAGGCTTTGAGAGGAAAGGAATCTTATGAATGGAGGGATGCTCTGCTACAACTGAAAAAGCCCTCTCCAGAGAACTTCATGGGGATCTCTGCAAATGTTTATTCTGCAATTGAATTGAGTTACAAGTATTTAGAAAGAGAAGAACTAAAGCAAACTTTCTTGCTTTGTAGTTTGTTCGGGCAGAATGCTTATATAGAAGACTTGCTAACATATGGTATTGGTTTGGGCTTATTTCAGAATGTCAGCACAATAGGAGAAGCACGAGACAGACTACTGACATGGGTTAGAAATCTAAAATCTTGTTCTTTGCTGCTTGATGGCAATAGCGATACTCACGTTAAATTGCATGATATTGTCTTTGATGTCGCTGTAGCCATCGCCTCAAAGGACCACCATGTGTTATCATTAATACATGATAACATACCCAAAAAGTGGTCAGATAGGGAGGCCATGGGAGATATCAAATGGATTAGTATACGACATGCTAATATTAGTGAGCTCCCCGATGAGCTGGAATGTCCGCAACTTACCTTGTTCTATTTATCTGGCAAGAATCCTTCTATGAAAATTCCAGACAATTTTTTTCGGGGAATGCCAAATCTCAGAGTCTTGGATTTTACCAGGATTTATTTCTCATCCATGCCTTCATCGATTTGCCTCCTGAAAAACCTCCATACATTACATATGAATTATAGTGTTATAAAAGATATAGCTGTTGTTGCAGAGCTGAGTGGTTTGGAAGTCCTTAGCCTTTCAAGAAGTGATATTGAAGAGTTGCCAACGGAAATTGGACATCTGACCCAACTAAAGTTCTTAGATTTGAGTTATTGTACCAAGCTCAAAGTGATACGACCCCATGTCTTAGAGAGTTTGTCCAGGCTAGAAGAACTGTACCTGCAAAACAGCTTCAATCAATGGGATGCTAACGGACTTGGAAATCAAAGAAATGCTAGCCTTGCTGAGTTGAAGAATATGCATAACCTAGTTGCTTTAGATGTGCATGCATGTGATGTCCAAATTATTCCAGAAGACTTATTCTCTGAAAGATTGAATAGATACAAGATATTCATTGGAGAGGTGTGG